GTCTCTGAGCGCGAGCTCTACGCGCGCTGTAATTGGCCAGTGTTTTTCGTTAATAATTCAAAAATGAAGCTTCAAACAACATTGTGGTAAAGGAAAAAGTTGTTCAGAGTCACCCCAGCAACCCCCCATTTCCGGGCGTTCGAAGAGTTACGGGACACCCTGTATAGCAACCTGACCGCAGAGCCCTACCTCATTCCCAACTGACAGTATTAATATTTACGCTTAGGATAAGTTCTACTCAGTTTTTTACAAGAGACTTTTTGAAAATTTTTCTCTACAATTACTTATGCAATTAACAAATGTTGATCCAACAAACATCATAGTAGATAGTGACATAGACGAGTAAGTTGGTAAATTGGCCCTGAGCCAGTAGGCACAACTTCTACCAAGGCAAAACTGATATAATAAGAAAAAATATATAAATCTTCAGTATTCATCCAGGACGGTAAGCGATATTCTCGTGCGGAAATCGAACCTTTGGAGAGAGGTGGATATGAGGAGGAAGTCCAGTTGAATGGCCTCCTCAATCACCTGACTTGAAGCCCTTAGATTTTATTTTTATGGATGCACTTGAAGACTTTGATATACTCACCGCCAATAGATAATGTGGTAGACCTACGACAACGAATCGACAATGCGTGCCGTAGAATACGTGGTACAGAAGGAACATTGTTATCTAGGATACGTAGATATGAACTTTGCATTGAAAATAGATAATGTGGTAGACCTACGACAACGAATCGACAATGCGTGCCGTAGAATACGTGGTACAAAAGGAACATTGTTATCTAGGATACGTAGATATGAACTTTGCATTGAAACGGAAGGAAAACAGATGGAACATTTGTAGACACGAAGATTTATACTACGGTTGCCTCTAATAAAATAATCTTTGTTGATAATCGTAATAATCCTGAATTTAAAACCGTAAACTAATACTGGCTCAAGTTGCTATTTATTTACTATGCTTGACCGAATTCGCGATAACGCCATTTCACTCCATCGACATTGAATGTGATGCGAAGAGGCCAGCTTACGATATCGAACGCTAAAGAAAAATAAATGTTGATTTTACATCGAAAGGATTGATTTTAGGACCAATGTTGACTAGACATTGTTTACTCCTCTCGGCGAGTACTACAAGGCGTTTACGTTATGGACCCTTTTTTACGACCACCCTGTATAATATCTCATGGCTTGCTGGTGCCTCGAACCGGAATCATAAAGACGGTCGTTACCGACCGATACTAATCGAAAACGGAGACAGACATCACTCTCCTTTACTGTACAAAGTTGTCCTTTAATAAACTCCAACTGTTTGTGTTTCTTTTTAATTAAATATGTCAAATGAAGAAGTGCCTGCACCCAACAATATACAATATTATATATACATCTCTCTGGAGATAATTGATCCAGGTAAACGAGAGACTTCAACGCGTGGTAAGGTATGTACAGGCTGTACCATTTTCGTCAATCCGAGAAATCATTTGAAAAATTCCTCATAGCGTTGGAAAACGTTTTTATACAAAAATTGAAGAATTCGAAGGAATTCTGTTCTTTCAGTTATAATCGTTCCGTACAATTTTTTTTCTCTTTAATTAATGCAACACGTGGAGCAAGTTGTTCGGGACGCGTCAACGCAATTGATGCAGGTCTTTTAAACGTTTTACTCTAATACTTTTTCACGTAGAATGTTCCGAGGATTGGATATGAGTAAGAAACAAAAAAGTGCATTTGCATTTTTCGGATGCATCATTGCACTTACCAAGAAAGTGAAGTCGTAGGAAAATAGATATTACCATACCGTTCAACTTTTCCCTCGATAGTTTTTCTTTCTATCTCTTACCAAATTCGAGATATAACCCGTCCCAATTGCGCGACGCATCCTGTATAGTACATGAATTAATACTGAACACAAGAACTTGTATACTTTGTCATAAGTGTTGCACTAATCCTGTTCAAAAATAAAACATTAACGAGATCGAACATTCGTAAGAGTAGAATGTTCAAACGAACTATTACAAAATTCAATTTGTAAACGTAGTCACAGAGTAATATACATAACCTAACACCTCTATATATAATCCAACCCGTTAATTTTCCTCTCGAAATTTTTCACCTTACGTCAAAAAATTTCTTTCCCAACACTTTATTAGGAGTCGATGAAAAGCGAACACCCGGTACGTGTAACAAAAATTCGCTTTCAAGAATCGAACACGAATTTCTCGTGCTTCGCGACGATTCAATCCAAGGTATCAGTCGTATCGTTTGCGGAAGAAGTTAAAGAACATCGAAAAAGGAGGCTGTTATCTTTTGATAAGCGGCTGGAATCCAGTCTTGGTGTGGACTGAAGAGTTGAGAAGCGGTCGATAAAAGCCTCCCTTGAACTTCCGTCCCTCTGCGTACCTGTGCACCACTACTGTATCCTGGCTCTGTGTACAACCTTTCTCTGCTGTCCCTTTTAATCCCCCCTTGTACATACGTGTAGCGTATGTGTGTGTGTGCTTTCTCTGTCTCTGTCTCTCTAGGTCGCGATCGATCGAAGAATAAAATATACAGCCGCCGAAAAAATTCTTATCCGAATGTACGTGTGTGTGTGTGTATGTGTGTCTGCACATACTATGTGTGTTATGTATATGTATACATATTATAAAACACATTTTGTGTGTGTGTGTGTGTGTGTCGTTACAATAAAATAGAGATATACTCTGTTATTTGTTTTTTTTTCGTCCCTTAGATTCCATCTGCTTTTCACCTAAGACGCTACTACGAGAAAAAACGCTTACTATCGTTACTCTGTATACGTAATATAGTAGTACTTATTGCAAAAAGATTGTTGGCATGCTTATTGCAAGTGTTTATTTTCATTACGCACCACGTATAACACTGTAGCACGTGCACACCGTGGAAACGCGCCTTGAGAGTATCTTCTCTCCCCTTACGGAAGAGGAGATCATCTTGAAACGAGGATAAAATGCTATGTACACTATGTGTTCCATGGTCACGTTCTCCAACACTGACACATAATGCAAAGTGTATATACGAGTGTGTAACAAGGAACTCTGGAGTGTGTGTATGTGTGTGTGCATGTATGTGGTTTCTCGAGTGCTCGACGATCGCCCAAGTCATCCCCTGTGTCGGCTTCCGGTCGACTCTGCCCTATGAACACACTCTGGGATCGATTTGTGAAGTGCATCGTTGGTGCAGCTGCTCCTGCTTTCTTCTCTCTGTCTGTCTCTCTGTGCGGATATGATTCTCTACGATGGAACGTGGAAATTGCAGAGTGAATTGAAGTTTTCGGAAGGAGTTGGGTTTAATAGTATGATATGGAGTTCGAGGGATCACGTGAATGAATGTCTGGCGAATAGATCGAATTTTGTCGTTGAAATAAATGAAAGGAATTGAAGTTCAGAACACAGGAAACATTCTAATCAAATATTTCACTATTTTTAGTAGAACTTTTAATGCCAGATTTTTGGGAAAATTTTATTCTCGAAATGAACAGAAAGGGTTGGATTTTAGGGAATATTGGGATTTATGAGATAAGGAATTTTGGGGTTTCGTCAGAATTCGGTGACTTTTGTGGAATTTTTCAGCTAAGAATTTTGGAGAAATTTTATTGAAAATAAATGAAATAATCAGGTTTTTGGAAATGGTGGAATTTTTAGACTGAAAATTTATAGAAAATTTTAAAAAAATTTTTTTAAATTGTATTTTCAATATTGAAAATTCCAAAAGAAATATAGTTCGCTATCTCACAGCTGCACCACGATCTTCCCAAATTTCCCAGAACCATCAATTACCTCGTTTTCTATAAAAAAAAAAAAACTACTAAGATCGTCCACTATAAAAAAAAAAAAAACAAAACGAACACTGGCTAAATTCGAGGCCCTAGAGTCTAGAGTATTGCAAAAGTTGCGTGAAACAGGCGAATCTTTCATGGTATTGCTAAGTCTTCCTCTCTCTGGAGAGCATAGGTAGATATGTATACACGTAAATCCTGACTTATCGAGTTCAACTTGGCAAATAGAGCACGACAATGCGATTCGACGAGCATTGAACTCTCTCTCCTCTCTCTCTCTCTATCGATCGTCCTTACGCCGACGATCGTCCAAGGAAGTTCTTAATGTTAATATATATCTTCTTCCTGTCTAATCTCCGCGAAAACTGTACATATATATATATACATATATATGTGTATATATATACAGTGAATTCATTGTTACTCGGTATTTCCGGTTCCCTGTACTCTGAACAATTCCTCCAAAATAACAAATTCGACAGAATATACGAGAAAATCGAAGTCCTTTCCTCTCGTCGTAGACAAACATCAAACACACGTTTGAGAAAACAGAAATTCCCTCGACAAAGAATTCATTGTACCTGACTCGCGAAATCCTTAAACAGAAGCTCGTCTCAAAACGCGTCCTAATTAATCAGTTCTTTGCGTGGGTACGAGTCAAACGCGCTAAAAGTATTATCCTTACCTCTAAAAAGAAAAAGGAAACGAAAGTGAAGAAGATAAAAAGAAGAATATCCGCGCGCGAAAGGACGAAACGTCAAGGCCTTTCATCAAGGAATGAGACAAAGTTCGCAGGCTTGGATGGTCGAGGCGCTAAGAGCTTTTGATTACTCTCGGAAAGAAATTCCTACTACTTCATCGAACATCCTTCTTCTTTTTCAAACGCTTTTGGTTAAAGCACAGCGCTTTTCTATCAGAAACCGGTAGCTCCTTAGTCGCTAATCTCGCCATCTCTAGGTGCTCTAGTATTCATCGAGAATCAATAACAAGCATCGACGGACGAATCGTGTCCAATTCTTGCGTAAACGTTATTATCCGATCAGGTAAGAAGACAGGGGAAAAAAAAGGAACTGAACGTCCATCGAGCTCGTTAAGACCCCTCGTTCGAGATTCATTGCCCTGAGTATCTTTTTGTACATCGTATACGAACGAGAGTTCTCGAAATTGAAAAATTTGCCACAGAGCTTTGAGTCTAGCCTCACCGATCGAGTGGCGCGTCTTCCATGTTGGTTACGTTACCGAAATGTTGAAAACCGTTCTTAAAGATGCGCCCTCTGCTGGTTCCCGCCTTCGTCTGGTCGAGTAGCGTCACATTATCCTCGAACTCCTTCACCCATCTGGCTGTTTCATTGCCCCAATGGAACCTAATAGTCGCTGCATGATGATAAGCCTTCTTCACACCAGAATTTCGACTCTCCACGCCCTCCATGGAGTGATAAAAGGACTTCTCGTAGAAATCTTGACCCAAGAATGGCTCCAGCTCTGAGACGATCTCCATAAACGTAGGACGATCGCTTGGTCGCCATTTGAAACACTTCTCCATGATCCTATGGATGTTCTCTGGACAAGTACGAGGAACGTGCAAGGTTCCTTTGTGTAATACGTGATTGAGGACTTCTTCGTTGGAGAAACCTTGGTAGGGGATCTCAGCCAAGGTCAAAATTTCATACAGGACCACTCCGAAGGACCAAACGTCGGAGTCTGAGGTGAACACACCGTCAGAGAGATTCTCTGGAGCCATCCATCTGACGGGAAGAAGACCTTTGCGACCAATTTTATAGTAGTCTGTCTCATAAACGTCTCTGGCCATTCCGAAGTCTCCAATCTTGCAAACTAGGTCCTTAGAGATCATACAATTCCTCGCAGCTAGATCACGATGAACGTACTTCTTCGATTCCAGATAAGCCATGCCATCAGCTATCTCTGCAGCCATTCTTATGATCCTACAGTCGTCTGGTACCAGATGAGTATCGCGAATTCGACGTAGATATGTCTTCAAGTCACCGTTGTCCATCAACTCCATAATAACGAACGGAGGATTCTCAACAGACACCACGCCTATAAGCTTGATGATGTGATAGGTGGAGAAGTTCTTCATCACTGAAGCTTCGTTCAAAAACTCATTCTTTTCCCTCTGAGTGACTGTCGTCGAGATCGTCTTAATAGCCACTGGTGTAGTTTTGTCATACAATCCTCGGTAGACCATACCAAAGTTACCTAAGCCTAGTTCTTCAAGGATCTCCACATTTTCTCTAGGTACCTCCCAATCGTCAATCACGTACGTGGTCTCTATGTAGTCTGGATTCACACTGGCTATCAATCTTTCCTGCATCTTTCTCTTCTGGTGTCTCCTCATGATCATAAACGACACAATTGACGCTGCAAACAAGATACTAAGAGTCAACAACGCTATCAGAGTAATTGGAGCATTGTTCAATAGGCCAACAGAGAAATAGACTACTTCGGAGAAATTTCCATCACCTGCCAGAGACGTGGACTTAATTCGCAGACTATACTTCCCTGGACTGAGGTTCTTGATGAAGTAGTTGTTCACCAGGTCCCTACGACTCATCCGTGGTATACACTCAGCGCTCTTCTTCGCGTCACGCACATGCAGATTCGTGTACTCGATGGTATATGACACTGTGAGCGCATTAGGATCCTTTACTAGGCCCCAGGTCACTTCTACAATTGTGTTATTTGTCACGCGGACTTTCAGGTTCTTCACATCGTCAGCACGCATTCGTTTCTTCGTTCTGATGTTTGTATACTGAATGGACGAGCACATGTTAGTCTCGTCGACTTTCACACCGCAAGCAGCGATGCTGACGATGTAACGCGTGTAATGACGAAGATTCCTGATCACAAACGAGTTGTTTCTACCACTGACGTTGTACGCGACAGCTGTCTCCTCTATATATTTTCCAGCTGCCTCCGAAGAAGCAATTTTAGCGGTCTCTTCTAGCCGAGGAGTGGATAAATTGTTCGCCAGCTCGTAGAATCGATTATCTGCCACGTTGTATTTATTGTGCACGCAGTAATCCTTCCAGCCTGGTGAAACGTAGCTGATAGTTGTGTTCTCGTGACAGAAGATCTCGAATTTCTTCGATGTAATGATGTTTCTATTGACATTCTTCGAGCAACACGAGGTTGAAGTCATCACTGGAGTTTTAATGGTCACTTCTGATACTACTTCTTGCGCATTTTCAAACTCATTTTCCAGAGTGTCGTTGCAATAGTTTCTGGAGGAGATCACATCGTCGTCCTCGTAGATCATGGCGCTGGAGAGCATGTAGTAGCCTATGGGACCATTAGGGAACAACGGTGGTTCCCATCTGAGCAAGATGTCCGTGTCGCTCAAAGCAGTGGAAACTATGTTCACTGGAGGTGATGGTATAGTGCTCTTGGTTCTGAGGAAAATGATCTCTGACTGACCAACCGGGTTCACGAAGAAATTCGTGTTCCTCGCGTTGAACGTTTTCACGTACACTGCGTACATAGTGTACGGTTTCAAATTACCAATTTCTTTCGATACCGTGGTGTTCCATTTTGGAATATCGACGTCGACGATCTGCCAGGTGTTGTTTCCTCCACAAGCATTTGCTTCGTAGGTGATATTCTTGTTCTCTGTTTCGATGTAATTCAATAAGTAACTGAGCAATTGTTGACCTTCCGGTGGTTTGTAACTGTCCCAGACTAGATTAGCGTAATCAGGTCCTAACTGTTTCACGGTGATGTTTATACTCACTATATTGCAAGCTACCTTTTCGCCATTAGACTCCGGTTGGATCTCTAGGTCGGTGAAGTTGGAGATATTCACCATTTTGCTGAATTCGACGATCTTTGAGAGGCATAGCTTTGGATTGTAATGAAAAAACAGCCTACCATTTTCGATTCTGACTTGTTGCTCTGGTGGGAATAGATTCGATAGATTTGGATTGTCGAGAACCGAGAGGCTGGCGTTATTGATGTCCAATTTCTCGCCTTTGATCACCCTTAATCTTTTCAAGAAACCTAGAGAAGTGATTGGGAAGGAATGGGTGATCTTCAAGTACTCGGTGATTTCTTCGATTTGGCCTAAAGCGGCGCTCAGTTCGTTCATTATGTTTGGATTTCCATTCCGGATCTGGAATTCCAGAGCGCCTCTCACCACAGTTATGCCCCGGAAGATCTGCGCGTCGGAGATGTGTCGGATCAAGGCGCCGTGGCCCACCTTTCGGCATCTGTCCTGGCAAACGCGACACGTAGTCATCTGTAATTGTAATTGGATAATTCTTAATTGTAAGAGATGTTGTTGTTAGAAGAGGTATAAGAATTTCGTTTTTCCGATTTTGAGAGAAATTCTGCTACTCAAATTCAACACACTTTTGCATCGCAGAAGTTCACCGAACGTTATCTTGGGGAAACTTTTTCAGTCTGTTCGTGTAATTGAGTTCTGAGTTAGATTTTACAGAAAAATTCTTATTCCAGTTTTACGATTTAACTGTCCAAAAAATCGATCACAATTCGAGTTTTCAAGAAATTACACTGCAAAAATTTATTAACCTTTAGCAACGCTTTACGTTTATTTTTTACAAGTATAACATACAAAATATTGGCCACAAAAAGTAATTTGGCTAATGTCATATACAGGGTGTTCCTCATAGTATTATACTATGCTTTATTTTTTTTTTTTTAAATTCAAAATAATATGTCTAGTATTATTCTGAACATTTGAGGCCCTTCGGTCACTAATGACCACCGTGGCCCCATCAAGGAAACAATCTCCGTCATAGGTGACCAACATGGAAGTCAACGTGTTAAATAAATGTAAATAGTTTCAATGAATATGTTTGGTGGAGATGTTTCAGAGATTTCGAGGTCATCTTCAATCTTTAAATAAATCTATATATTTTATTGCACATCAATTGACGTTGTTTTTGTTCCCTATAAAAAGAAAAAGTATTAAGTTACTACTGGTGTCGAAAAATGATCAATTTAAAAGATACTTTAACTGCAATTGTACAACATTGTATCCTCAAAACCTCAACGTCTTCGCTCGTGTTTACTAACAACATCATCATGTTTGTAAGCATCAGTCACTTTTCTGTATCTGTACGGTTATGATGTTTTGTGATCATTTTGGCTAACGTCTTAACTCGCGAACATGTTCCGTACAGCGTGACTAATTACTACTATAACTCGGCTACACGCAGCAAGTGCTTTACATTCGACTGGCCAACAATCAAAGGGTTAATTTTTCTTCTATGCAAATTCTATGCAAATCTTTACGCAAATTCAACAAAGATATCTCAGATCAGACATTCTAACGTTACAAAGTAATACGTGGACATTACATCTGACATCTCAGAATTGCTAATTACCGCCACCCCTGATCGCCTGAAGTAGAACGTAGATCCTGTCGTTTCGTAATTAGTGATGCTCGCACGTTTCGCGAATAATGCTCTCTCTCTCTCTCTTTTCTCGAGCCTTGAATTCACCACGAAATAAATGTTGAACGCGATCGATCTACCGACTCTGATCCCTCTGCCTTAACCGTGAATCTAATTACAACACGGCTAATTAGTCGAATTCGTACGTACATTGTACTCATCGAGTGCATCCTCGTATCCCTCGGGGCAATGAGTCACACAGGATCCATTGAAAGGTCTCCAGAATTGTCCATCCTCGACAAAGAAGTACACTCTCCTGAGGCGATTCATTTTCACGCATTCGTCCTTCGTGACGCAGCGTCTCGACAAATAGGCGTATCTATGGAAGGTTTATGCGTCGGATATAGCCTGAGTGAAAGTAGGTGGCGGCTCAAGGTCACTGAGCCGCAACCCCCCTCCACTTCACTTAACTCTTGTAACAGTAAGAAGCATGGCAAACTACATAGTTTCTGCTCTTTCTTTTTTCACGATACATTTCAAGAGAGTTAAAATGTCGATAACGAAAAGTAGAGAAGAATTTTTGTTTCACAGTGACCTCGAATCGTTACATTTTTTGAAAATAATTGGAATACGACTGGAAAAAGGGAAAACCTTTTCTATGAATTATGTTATATTATCTTAGGATATATAAATCATAATATAAATAAATACATAATCTCCCTAAAACTCCCTAGTAATTTCCTAGAAGTTCCCTAAAACTCGCTGGACATTTTCTGGGAACTCTTCGGAATTGCCCGGGAATACTCGAAAGCATCCCAGAACTCCCTTGGCATTTCTTAAAACGATATACCACTGTGATCAAAAAGTATCGAGACCGGCGCATTAATTATATCTGAAAATCTTTTGCTTCTCTATAATTGGTAGAACTGTTTCTAACGTGTGTTGAAAATTTCACGTCGTTGCCATTGTTGGTTTGCAAGTAAACGACTTTTTTGCGATTAAAGGAAAGCGCATTCGGTGATTTTCAGTATGTTAAATTTTGCGGAGCAAAGAATTTGCATAAAATTTTGCCTTCGGAACAAAATTTCGTGTACGGAAACTAGAAATGTTGCGGAAGTGTTTCGGTGACGCGTGCAGGTCGAGAATAAGGATTTTCGAGTGATACGAAATGTTGAAAGAAGGCAGGGAACGCGTCGAAGGCGAGGATCGATCTGGAAGACCATCCACACTTCAACAGATGAACAACGCGCGTTGAGGAAATCAAGGATTTAGTCCTCGGTGATCGACGACTGACGATTGGAGGACATTTCCGAACGTGTTGGAATATCATTTGGTTCGTACCAATTGATTTAGAAAGGCAATTTGGGCCTTGTACCAAAAACAACACTGAATGTTTGTCAAAGACAACATCGCGTTCGTGTCGCTGATGAAATGGTTTCTCAAGACGAATCATTCGTGAAACGCATCATTACTAGCGACGAGACATGGATCTACGCATACGATACAGAAACAGCTCAACAATCGAGCGAATGACGTCTTAAAGGCGAAACAAGACCGAAAAGACCTCGTCAAAGTCGATCAAAAATCGAAGTCACGTTGACAGTTTTCTTCGATTACCAGGGTGTTGTGCGTCGGGAATTCCTCCCAATTGATCGAACTGTCAACAAAGAATATTATTCGGGTGTTATGCATCGTTTGCGCGAAGCAATCCATAAAAAACGACCGGAATTGTGGCGAGAAAGTTCATGCACCACACGTCTGTATTTGTTTGTCATTTGTTGTCTAAAAATTCGACGAATACCATTCCGCAAGCTCCGTATTCGCCTGATATGACACCGTGCGACTTCTTATTTTCTAAGTTGAAATTACCGCTTCGTGGACACAGTTTTCAATCGATAAATGAGATAAAGGAAAAAATCGCTACGCGTTCTGAAGGGTATACTTCGAATTGATTAGAAAAGGTGCTTCGAGGACTAGAAAAAAATGTTGGCACAAGTGCATTGCAGTGACAGGGGATTACTTTGGAGGGGACGAAATAAATTTCGGTGAATGAAGTAATAGTTCACATTTCATCGGACCAGTACCGATACTTTTTGATACCCACTTTAAACCTATTATGCCTTAATACAGGCGTGTCCAACCCGCGGCCCTGAACAGCACAATATCGTAAACTTTTAACATTATTATGTGATTTTTAGCGATATTTTTCACGACTCAATTGCATTATAATAAAAAATATTAAAAAGTAAAGGAGGTTTTGTTATTTATGTACAATTAACTGTATTATATAGTTCGTATGGCCCAGGCAAATCGAAAGGTTGGACACCCATGCCTTAATACTTATTTATTCAGTTTTTAGTGCTCTTCTAATTTCCGTAAAGAAATATAGGGTGTTAAAAAAATAAAGGTGACCTTCATATGTGGAGAAAACATAGTTATTGTAACGTAAACCCCCCTTGAAATCATGCAACTTTGCTTCGTGTATTTTATCGTACAACGAATAGTTTAGGAGTAATTTCAAGTCAAATTAAGTGAATCACCCTGTATGTATTTCTAAATACGCTACACTAAAGTGTGGGACCACTGTTCATTTACAAGAATTCTCTGGAAAAGAGGTTAAAAATATAAGAAACTTTTAAAGAATCCTTTACTACCACTACCAAGTCTATCTAGTCAAAGTGAATTACCATTGATCCCTGCAAAGTGAATTGCAAATTCATCAAAAAAATTCGTAGCAGATTCCGGTGGATCCAAACTTTTTTGAGCCATAATAGATGATTAACAGCGATTAAGTTGGGCGTTTTAGCGTTGGAGAACGGTAATTTTTGTGAAATGGGTCAATGATCCTTTTACGAGGATCTGGAAGTTTCGTCGAATTGTTCGACGCCTCGATCGGTAGGGAGAGCAATATAGCGGCGATATAGTTTCAAACTTTCGTCGTTGTCGATAATCAGAAATAAGCAAACGAATTTCAGAAAATTAGCAATATCGTGAAATTATGAATGTCGACGATCGAAAATATGAATGTAGGAGGAAAAAGGGTAATTCTTCGAGGATTACTCACAAGTGACTAGGACAGGTTTCCACGCACTTCCCCTCGTGTCGATAGTGCTTGCACACGTAGCAATCTCTCTCCGTAGGGCCACTGCACTCAGCTAGACACTGCTCGTGACACTTTGGCTTCTCTGTTCTCTGACAGAACTGCGACGTCCAGCAGTAACCCTTGGGACACTGGGAACATCCTGCGATGGGGGGAGGAAGCAGTTGATTAAAGTCTTAGCCGTCTACGTGGTAATTTTGCGCGTGCTTCAACGAATGTATCTTTGACATGCGAGCACAATGTTGGTAGAATCGGGTACTTGTATGGCAGCAGAAGCTCTTAAGCATTCATGGCGTTTGGTTAGACTCTACGAATATTTAGTTATAGCTAGTGCTTCCAGTAAGTACACGATTCTTCCTTGAAAAAATATTGTTTTAATCTTTGTAACAAAGAATGATATTTTTTAATATTTAATATATACTAGTTCGATTTTACTCAACAAAGAAAACAACGTCTATAAATATTTCAAAACACTACTTAAAATTTTGTATTAACTCTCTGTACGCCGTGTAACTTGCAAGTTACTTACTGTTTTATCTATAGGTTATAGTCTCCTTTTATTCGTTAATTGTTATACTATTGCACCATATTGTTGTACATTATTACCAGTCAATTTTTTTGCAATAATTATTACCATTTTCATAATTATTTTTTACATTTGTTCTTGCTTTTTCCACCGAAATATAAAAAACAATCAACTAAAATATCTCCTCTCAGAAGCAAGAAAAAAGAATCAGGTTGCAGAGGGCCAAAATTTAGAAGTTTATCAATTCTCTTCGGTGAAATTGCTTATTTTTGAAGCGATTGAAATTTTGCAATAACGAGAAACGGTATCTTTAAATACTTAAAAATAATACTTGAAACGTTGTATTAAAATTTAGATGTTTATCAATTTTTCAAAATTACTTGCTTTTTAAGTGATTAAATTGTTTCTTTACTTTGAGTGAAATTACGGAAGTGCTAGATCTGAATTACGAAATCGATCTTGCAAAATAATTCAGGCCTAACGTTACTCTTTCACCTTCAAAATAAAAAGATTAATAATCACCTATTTTTTTTTTTTTTTGTTTTCCCACCAAATAGTATTCCAAACTTTTTCCTCGTACCAAAGAACCAATTGAAAATTTTGTAACTTACTGTTTCCAATTCCATTCGACACAACGCTTCAATACTTAATGCATGAAAAACTCATTCACATCTGCGCGCGCTATCATGTTTATCATTTTCAATACACACACGTATCTAATTATACTGTTACATAGCATTATTTCATTTTCTTTCTGTTTCCTATCTTCTCCCTACCCTCTTTTCTCGTATCTATTACGCGCTACACGTAGATTCGACTTAATATAATTACCAATCTTCTCTTTGCCTGCAACAGAGACGCAAAAAAAAAAAACAACAAGCGATTAGTGCAAAGCGGAGAAATTTTAATAACGTTCAGAAAGGAAGTGATAGTT